GGTGCGGGTGGCAAGGACCCGCCCCGAGGTCCCAGCGCCGGAGCCGGTGCGCCGAGACCGCCGGGGTGGAGGGACCCGATCAGCCCTACGCTTGGAAGCTGGCGAGAGTGTTGGGAGCCTAGGGACCTGCAGGCGGCTCCGGCAGTGCCCAGCTAGGGCGTGACGGGAGGCCCGCCCATTCGCATCGTGGGATGGTACCCACAAAGGTCCCCTCGGAACCAATTCTCCCGCAGTCCCGAAGTCAGCAGCCGCGCGTGGGCAGCAGAAACACTGGCATGCTTCCCTTGCGGCGCTGCACAGGCTTCAGAGGCTGTGCAGGGTCTTCGCCTGGGCCGCCATCCTCACCGCCCATCCTGGGGAAGCGGAGTTCACCTGCTCCCACGCCCGCCGGGCTCGACCATCGCTCTTTCCAGTTTCTTCCTCGAGCACCAACTTAGCGAGGGAATTGGGCATCTGTAGGATCAGTGTGAGCTCTAAAAGATGCTTGGCCTTAAAGCTCCCCAATTACGACTGTCCCCGGCCTTTGTCAGATCCACGTCCCTCTCTAGTGCTTCTTTTTCCCGCGGAATATTCAAGTCATTCTGGTTCTTCAGGACTTGGATCCAAGTCCCCCTCCTACATAGGAGGAGTCTCCCCTCGATGCCCCACCACAACCGACTACAGTACCTCGGACCTGCGTTGTTGGTCTGGTCTCCCGAAAGAGGCCGCGGAGGGACTTGTCCACCCCGGGACCACCCCAGCGCTTCTGCAGCCCCCAGAGAGGCACGGGGAGGCCCGACTGTTAACAGATTTAGCTTGTCTTTAATTATTTCAACACCCAAACTGTAGAGTCTAGATTTCACCTTTTAGATTGATATCAGTCTCTAAACCTAGGAATACTCTTAAAATGTCAATTCCTTATGTAAGGAGACTGCCGCGGTTTGGTTTGGTTTGTTTTATTGTGTTGTGTTTTGTTTTTGCAAGAGTAACCAGTTTCTTTTTCTCATTCCCACTGACTGAATAAAAAAAAAGGATTTTTATGCCTTTGTGGTGCAACGGGAACATCACCAGCAACGGAGAAGGTCCCATTTTAAGTTGCTGTTGTTGCTGGGTTGGAATTAAAATGTCTGAGTTGACCTTGGCCAATTCACTTCATCTTTTTGACCACTCATTTCTTCAACTACAAACTGAAAAAGTTGAACACGGGTATTTTAAAGATCTCTTCTTGCTGTAAAAGAAAAAGAGAAACACTATGACTACTTGAATGAACAACAATGAAAATATCCACTAATTTTGGTTGTGCTCTCTCCATAGACAATCCCTGAGTCATATTTGCAAAGCCTCTTGTCCCTCTTTCCATGTTTTTTTTTTTTCCCCATTATTCCACGATTCTCCTGTCAATGACTCTCAAAAATCATCTAGGGAGTCTAGGAACAAAAATTCTCAGGCCTCCATGACTGCTAGAGATTTCAATATTAGAAGAGATGTGATTGGTCTGGGACCTGGACATTGGGTATTTTAAGGCCTCTCCCCACTCTAAGAGTCCTGAGGGCTTCCCCACCCTTCCCTCCTTGGCCCTCTGAGATTCTGATTCAATGTATCTGGAGTCTGGCTGGGAATCTTGGTTTGAAGCACCAGCTGCGCGCGCGCACACACACACACACACACACACACACACACACACCCATGTCTACAGTAAACTGTCACCAAAGGAGCAAGTGTCACTGTTCTTTCGGATGGTGCCTCAGTTGGCTCTGTACTCCAGCGCATCTCGCTGAAAGTGATGATGAACATCTGGGGTTCTTGTCACGATGCAGATTCTAATTCAGCAGGTCTGAGAGAGAGGTTGTGAGTCTGCATTTATTTCTAACAGACCTCCAGGTGCTGCCGATGCTGCTGGTGAAGGATCTAGTGGTTATTTCTTGTTCATGAGATAAGCCTTGTTTCGGCAAACCTCTACTGAATCACCCAGAAAAATTTCTCTGGCTGCAGCTTTCTCCTGGGAGATCCCTTTACTAACTGTAAATGATTAATAATCCACTACTCATTTCATATGTGGGGCAAAGATGGTGGTGCTGGCCTTGTCTGTATCCCTCACTCACACACCTACTGGAATGCCAAGGACAGTTTTTCTCCAATCACTGCTGCTTACCTGGAAGATAATGTGAGTTTACATTCTTGGCACACATACTGTGTGAGAGGCACCTTGCTATGTGTTTTACATGCATTGTCTTCCTCACACAGCTACTACCATCCTCATTTCAGAAATGAATCCATGCACGTCTGTTAACGTCTTAACACTAATAGACACAGTGGTACCGCCCCCTAGGGGACATTTTGGAAATTTGCATATACTAACATTGATTATCCCAATGATGGGAGGAAGGGACCACTGATTAAGCAAGGGGTGGCCCAAGATGCAGATTATGTCCCACATGACTTTTATATGTCAGACAGGATCTTTGGTTTCAGTTAAAATGTGCTTCCAATTACATTAGAACTTCAACTCTGTTTTACATATAAACATGAATTTTTTATTTGAAAAAAACTATTTGTAATACTCTCTTCAAAAATTCAAAAATTAGTGAGACTAAATATATTCTTTAGGCTTGCATATTTGAGTTCAAAGAGAAAAGTAAACAAATAAGCTACAAACACAAATTTCATGATAATTCTTGTGACGGGCCCTGCTCTTAAGAGAGAGCTGTTAGTTCCAGTTAACCTGGTTCTTTGGCTGAGTGAGTAGTTGAGTTCACTACTGTTCATTTCATAATTAATTAGTTATGTTTTTTAAATATGCCATTCATGAACCAAAGATTGTGGTTAATCCAATTGTATGGGGAGTTTGGAAGCCACATTGAGCTTCAGATTTATTTGGTTTATAATTAACAAAACAACTTTGATAATGTTTTCTTATTTAGATCAATAGTAATCATACTTTTACAAAAAGCAATGTTTTATATGCAGATGTACCTTTTCTTCTTTTTTATACAAAACAAAAATTATAGATGTTTTTTCCCAACAGAGAACTTAACATTCTTTTGTCTGTTAAACGCTTCTTCCCTCTACCCCTCCTGCCCATCCTCCATCATCTACTCCTTTCCCTTACAGTCTCTGGTATCTACACGTATCCCCACTACCATTCTAGCTTCAGATCTTTCCATTTCTCCCATAGAGTGCAGACATTCAGTACATATTGAGTGGGGATATACAGTGCATGTCTTTCAAAGCCTGGCTCATTTCACTCAGCATTAAGTCTTCTATAATCATCCACTTTGAATCAGATGACAGGTCTCATTGTTTCTTATGGCTGAGTAGTAACCCATAGTATATTCATGCCAAGTTTTTCAACCCAGTCATTAGTTCTTGGACACAGGTTGATTCCATGTCTTAGCAATCGTGGATAAGGCTACAATAAATATGGATGTGCAAGTGTCTTTCATTCTGAGTGTTCTCCTATCCTTTGGATAAATACTAAGGAGTGGGATTACTGGGTCATATGGTAGTTCTATTTGTAGGTTTTCTGAGGAAATTTCATATTGTTGCCACAGTGGTTGTACTAATTTACATTCCCACCAACAGTGGGAACAAACTCACCAGCACTTGTTCTTTATTTTTCTTATCTTAGCCACTCTAACTGGGGTTCTTAGCCATTCTAAATGGTATCTCATTGTGGTTTTAATTTGTGTTTCCCTTATAATAAGAGGTTTTTAACATTTTTTATTCACCCTTTGGCCATTTATCTCTCTTCCTTGGAAAGGTGTTTATTCATCTCACTTGCCCATTTTAATTGGATTATTCTCCACTCCTTTTTTTTAATGGATGATTTGCTTGAGTTCCCTATATATTCTGGCTATCAATCCCTTGTCTGAGGCATAATTTGCAATTATTTTCTCCCATTGTGAGGGTTTATTCACTTGAATTATTTTCTTTGCTCTACAAAAATTTTCTAGCTTGATGTGATCCCACTTGTCTATTTTGGGGATTTTTGCCTGTGCTTTAGGGGTCAACCCTAACCTATCTTAAATTTCACATCCCACTTTATCTTAGAAAGTTGTCTATCTCCACTGACTTGAAAATCACACCAGGCATGTGTGCATGCATTTCAGAAATCCCAGGAGGAAAATGGAGGGGACAGGATTGCGGAGAGGCCATCCCTCCAGAGAGTGATTTCTCTTTCTTCCTCTCACTCTCTCTCTCTGTCTCCTTCTCGTGCACCTTAGGGCAAAAACATACATACATACATACATACATACATACATACATACATACATAAATAAAGCAAATACGTATTATTCATATATGGCTCTGTTTTTATTCTTTCTCTATTATAATGTAGGTAATTATATTTATTTTTAACTATATATGTATGTATTATCCATGAATTCACTTCATAATCACAATAGTGCATAATAAAAAAAAGGGTGAGA